CAATGTTTGCTTGTGACATGATACGCTAGTAAATGACTACCCATTTCCCAATGGATCACCCCATCCGAGTAAAGTGGAGGACTGATAAGCTCTTGGAACTCAAATTCTTGTAGGAGAGCAGGTACAGGTAAATTGATGGGGTGATTTTTACTCCATGTGCCTGTCTCAGAAGAGAAAATCTGCAATTCAAGTCCAATGGATTCAGATGAAAATGAACCAACTCTAACAAGAAGCACAATCTGGAATTGGCATTTGCATTTGCATCCATCCAAAGCAGCTAAACCAACTCTAACAACATGCCCATTTATGCAAGGTTGAGGAATCAAGAATGTGTCTTTGGTGAACGGATTCAACACATTGTAGCATAATTGATCCCTTCCATGACTTGACAAGAGAATTAAGCCATTGCTGGAAGCAAGGCTCTGCACAAAGTTTTCAGTACATAAGCTGAGGGAACGATTAAGGGTGGTAGCTCCACTTTCAATCTCAATATCCAAAATCACAAACTGAGATGACCCATTTTCAAACTGATAGTGGCAAACAAGACCCAACTTGCTATCATCAGAAGTTGTACAAACAATTTCAAAATTCTTGCGCTTCATGTTCGCTCCTTAACAATCTTTCCCTCAAGACGAGAAAAAAAAATCTCTGAACCTTTGTGAACAAAGAAATGAAGCTAATTAGAGGAATGCTTCTTGTGGGTCGTGTGGCCCTTCCTATGAAATGATGAATATGCAAGTTGAAAGCTTTCACAAGAATCAAACAAAAACTTACATTACTCCTAAGTCTCTAAAATTTATGACATTAAAGAAAAGCCAAGTTGAACGTAGTTTTCCTTGTGGATTCACTCACCCTTTGCTTCGTTAGATTGGAAAAAGAAAAGAAAAGAAAAGAAAATACAGGGTAAACACCAATACCAATAAGGCCCTCACTTTCTTGATGACAAGTAGTCATGAAAACAGAAACACAGAGACAGACAAAGAGAGCTCACAAATAAAAAGCAAGAAACGTCCCACAAAGAGAGAAACATTAATAAATGGTGCTACTGGAAGAAAATACCATCACGGGTTTCCCAGAATGAGGATGTGAAAGACAGAGAAGAAGAACATTTCTTGAATGAAAAAGAGAGAATAAGAACACTTACTTGAAATTTAGTACGCAGAAAAGGGAGAGAGGGGCCACTATTATTTCAGATGCAATTAAAACCGGAATAACAAAATAGAGAAAATTGTTTATTTATGTCATTTCACTCTAAAAGAGAAAATAAGCTGTTTCTGTTTATTTAACCCCTGACTTACTTACTAGTCAACCTTGTTCTGATTTGGCACTCTATAGAGTTTAAAGAATATATTTTTATAATGTATAATTTATTTACTAGAATTAAATAGTTAAATTTAAATACATATAATTCTATAAAAAAAATTAAAATTTATTTTAAAATTATATACATCTTTATAATTAACTTTTTTTTCTCTCAACTCAAAATGATTTCATATTGAGATAAGAAGATGATTTATCTTTTATCTTTTATTTATAGTGAGAGGACAAAAATTGAAATATAGGGAATATATTTCTCATATATTATATGAGATTGTCTTGTGCACGTACACAAAGTTAAAATACAGAAAATATATTACAATTCATTTTTTCTCTTTCTCTCTAATTTTTATTAAATTTCACTATTTATATATATATGAGATAAAATTTTCTTATAATAAATATATATATATATATATATATATATATATATAGAGAAATGATATATTTACAAGTTTTTTAATAAATTTTTGTAAATTACACTATGTACTTCCAGAAATACATAATATAGCAGTATATTTTCGAAAGTACATAGTATAATTTATAAATAAAAAAATTATAAATATAACTCTTCACATATATATATATATATATATATGAGAAAAGTTATACTTATAATTTATTTTTGTTTAGAACCATATTTTAATCATTGATTGACGAAAATAAACTATTAAAATATGATCATAAAAAATTGTTAATAAAAAATAGGTTGTAACTTATAAGTTATAAATATAGAGTCAAATTGGATAAGCTTTTTTTTTTTTTCAAAAGCTGTTTTTCACTTCTTGAAAAAAGCCTGTTTGGATGCCTATTTTAAAAAAAAACAGAAGTCATAAAAAAGTTAAAAATCTACTTTTTTCAGAAGCTAAAAATTTTAACTTCTAAAAAAATCAGAAGTCAAAAGTCAAATATTTTTTTAAAAAATCTAAATCACTCTAACTTTTATTGAAAGTACTTTTAAAATAAGAAAAGTGATAAAAAAGAGTTTCTTAAAAATCCAATACAAACGCACTCATAATCTTCCTAATTTTATATAAATGCTTCCTGGTGATAAAAAATAGTTGAGTAGAGCAGAGAGCGGCGAAGCACAGGGTGAGTGAGGGGCGGGATTATAGAGGAATAAAAGAAGAAAGGATGAGGATCTTCGGCAAACACGTATTTCCGGGCCAAATCATACTTTTCGCCTCCGGGTTCGTATTCTATTCTATTCACTTTAATTAAAATAAAATTATAAGCAATTGTAATTGTAATTGTGCTAAATTGTTTGTGCAAACCGAACACTAACAGGCTTCTCTTCTTGGCATCAACAACGTATGATGTGCATAGATCCATCAAGAACAACCAAACACCCCCTTCGGAGGAGCAGATCAAAGCTCTTCAAGATTACATCAAATCTGTGCGTCGCTCCCCTTAAAATCCACGACCTATATTCTGCCACGTCATCATATCTCCAATTCTCAACTCTACTTTTCTGGTCTAAACCAACTATTATTTATCAAACTAAATGGACTGTGCTAATAAAAATTTCCCGCTTTTCTTTTTCCACCCCATTATTGTACATGTATATTGAAGTATTTATACTTAAATCAATAAATAAGTTGTGAAGGAAACTTCATGAACAATTGGTTGTTTTTTTTTTTCTTATTAGACTAACAGAAACAACAGCGTGTATTGTTGTTATATGAATGTGAAATTTAGTAGTTTTCCTTTGTTTTTGTCTACATGGGGTTCTCGTTTGTTGATATAAATCAAATTGCTATTATATTTAGTACTTGAACGAACACTATCTTATTCTTATGCGTAGTATGAAGTTCAAGTAAGAATATAAAAAGGCTTAATAAAATTAGTTAGAACATTAATATTAACAATCGTTGAGAAAGTGGCTCCGGAATAAAATAATGTGGTTCTTGTATAATTTCAAAACTGGATCATGTTATCTTGGTTTGGCTGGGAAGGGGAGAAAAATATGTTATAGACTGAAAAAACTACGACCATTCCTTTATGGGTTTATCATCTATCATTTAACATGACCACAAAAATTTTCCTACACTCACAACATTTTGTGGGGCCCGCAGCAAAAAAAAAAAAAAAAACTTCGGCACGCAAAACGAATCTCTATAACATAACACAATCACTTTTCCTACAACATAACTCTTATAAAACCCTTCCTTTATTTATCAAAATATATGGTATGCACTGAAACATTCCCGGTTTGTTCCCTGCAATGAATCTAAAAATTAATGGATAAATACATTAAGAAATCTAGCTATGATATCAGAAACGGAAATTTAACACTAATACTGAACAAGGCACTCCTGCTAATTAAGCTCTTTGTCAGGGCATACAGATTTAGGGTAACACATAATCACACAGTTAGGGTCATACTGACGTAACTCATCACTCACGAAGTATCGACACTTTAAAAATTCTGAAATATCGATAAAAATTCAAAAAAAGATTCAAAGGTTGCGTTCCGTTGAGTTTTTAATTTCAATTATTAGATTCGTTGGATTACGATTATATTGTTATTAAGTTTAATATAAATATTTGAGATATTTTATGTTTCTTTGCAAAATTTATGAATATTATAAGTTTAAATTCAGTTTTTTTGTTAAATTATTTAATATCAAATATAATACACTACATAAATTAAAAATATTATTTAATATCAAAACGTGTCACGTGTCAGTATCGGTGCTATATAGCTCATCAATGCTCACTCACTTCATTCACACCTCTTATGTTTTTCCCTTTTATATAATAAAAAAAAGGAAAATGTATATATCAAGTTGAATGTGCTGTTACTTGACATTAATATTCCCCTAACTAAAAATATATTTAGTTCTAAAGAATTTCACGATGGCCCATGCAGGTCTCGAACCTGCGACCTTCGCGTTATTAGCACGACGCTCTAACCAACTGAGCTAATAGGCCAGTTGATTACACAAGTAAACTTTTTTTTTTATCGATTCATATATTTTACGATTTTTATTTCTTTTTTAATTCAAAACTTTGATATTCCAGACGAATCGTTAATCAAATTTGGCAGAAGTCTCCATCTTATTTTTATTTGGGATCAACAAGTTGGTGGTTCAATTGGGTCATTGGATTATCAGCCTCAACTAGCTTCGTGCATGTACCTTTTGGCTGATTCCTTAATGTAAACTATTTCATATGAGCAAATCAAGACATGGTAAAAAAATTTCAGAAGTTCGCTCAAGTTCTTGAATTGATTCTTTATGAATTATTATTTTTTCTTTAAATCTATGAATAACTTCCAAAGTAATAGGTTTACATACTCTAAAGACAAAAGGATTTGAATCAAATACATTGGGTAGTTATAATGGTAGTTGCCCTTTAATCTCTATTGGTTTCATTCTGTTTTGAGCTAGTACACAAAGCATTCTAACTATTTTTAAACCAAAAGCGTCCTCATTTTCCATTAATATTGTATTCACATAATGAAGCGAATCTTAATGCAAAAATTGCTTTCCCATCGAAATTTAAGCCAGCTTTATTACATAAATAAAAATTATTTCATTTCATTTCATTTTCAAATTCACTTGATAGTCGTTTTACAAAAAAGTTTAAGCAAAAATGCTATCTAGTTTATAGAGAGAAGTTTCTACAGTTAAATGGACCATACAAATGTTACACTAACGTAATAAAATTAAAGAGTGTGATGAAACTATTTGGTGAATAAAAATCTGGGTGGTTTTCGGACTCTTCGGTGCAAATATATATCTACCATTAGTTATCTTGAATTATTTAAAAAATATGTCTAGCCCATGATTAGCACGGCTCACGTACTAGTTAACTACAATTAGTGGATAACGAATACAAGCCTTAATAAATCATATACAAATTGCGCTTCCACTTTTTTTTTATCCTCCTTGTCCATTTTTATACATAACTTTATATGGGGCACAATCTATGCCTTCATTACTGGAGATAACTTTATTGGAGGAACCATACATCTAGCATAGGCAATTGGTAAAGAAAGTAACTTCTTGGCTTTGCTCACATAAGCCCTCTCAGTGAAATTGTTGTAATCATTAGCTTCAATCTCGTCCAATATCTGGCGATACAATAGCAATGACGCCCATACCTGCAACACCCACAACACACTTTTGTGTTCACATGTAAAAGATAAATAATGGATAAAAGAATGAAGAACCTCGTATAGAAGTTAGCCTTAGCCAATGACTAGCAGTTAAAGGTTCTTTGACCCTTTTTTCATTTCAGTTCAGGTGTCCATGATTAACTTGCTTTGCCACCTCTAGAACTATCATAATCTTCCTTGGAAGACGTATATTCCTACTTTAGTACACAAGTCACAGCATAACCCTAAAAAGCCAATGGCTTACAAGCACCGAGGTAATGAACATCTAAAATTTCTTCTGACATTGGACTCTACATTGTCATTATAATGACAAAACAAAAGGTGGTTATAACTTATAATGGCGTCAGAAAAACTCGGTTGAATCCATTCAACAAATTTTTCAACAGGATAAACTCATAAGTAGACACAAGATTAAAATTCAGATTTCAATATTAGATTAAAAATTGTGTTCTCTATAAAGCTAGTAGTGTAAGAATGTCAAATCTTAAACGGATATTAATTGATCCCTCCTATATATATGTCACCGTTAAACAATGATTTTGACCCAGATAGTCAATGTTTCACCGAGCTTCCCCAACCCTGAGTCTGAGCAAGCTTTGCATGTGTGTCCATATTAAAATTTCAAGCATAGAAAAGGTTTTGTATAATGATAAATGTTTGCATTTCTTACCGGCCATCTGCTAGCTTCATTAAGCTCCATCACTCCCTTTTCCGCCTCATCAAAAAACATTCTCGCCCTTTTAATTTGGCTCTTCATGAAGTTCCTCCACTTGTCTGTCACCTTACCGGCAAATATGTCATCATCTGAAAGCCCTGCTTGAGCCAACTCATCTTGTGGTAGATACACTCTTCCTCTGTTGGCACTGTTGAAAATTGAACAAGTGATAAGAAGGGTGGAGCCAAAATGAAATGCTGGGTCATTCTTAAAATCAGTAACAGAAAAAAATTAACATGATATTTTTCAGTCCATCAGAATCTCGAGATTAGAGGGAAACAAAAGCTAGTACCTTATAGGACTTGTTACATATATCATTGAAGCATATTCTAATATCAATTCCACTATTTTTTATATTTTTTTGCTCCCCTTGTATTCTTTTCTCTAAATAATCAGGTGAGACATTACATATAGTCTGGAAATCTCAACAAATAATGTGGAACCTTATTTTAGTTGTAAGGACCTGAGAGTGTATAAATTAAAGACACCTCAACCCAAAACAGACGAAGCATGAATGTCTTTTAATGTATTAGCGATGAAAGAAACTTATACAAGTTTTTGACAAGTACAGACAAACACGGTACCAAAAAAGATTGACTGAACTTGCACATAACATAAAGTACTTCATTTTATATACATCTCAAGCTTTCTGTTTTGGTCAGACGATACAATCCAGCTATTCTAGGTCTTAATGAGGAATCAAGTTATCAATATTTATGTGATGGGTATTGACTTATAATTGACAATACCATATCAGCAATAATGGGAGAAATAAACTTCAGTCTACAAGTACTTTTTTCATAAAATTTCTAATATGACTTAAAGAAACATCAATAATTCTGGACTTACTCCTCTCCAACATCTCTGAGTATGTTGGTTAGCTGATTTGCAATCCCTAGGGCCAAGGCAGCATTGTATACACTCTCTGTTGTGGCTTTTGAATCCGGTGAAATGCCCATGATTGGAACACTCATTAAACCAACTGTCCCAGCAACATAGTAACAGTAGAGATACAGTTCATCAAAGTTTTTGTACCTCGACTTCCTAAGATCCATTCTCATTCCTTCTATCATATCTTTAAATGGCTGCATGGACACAAATAAAAGATTTGGAAAACAAATCCTCTAAAATTGAGGGTGAATGTATTAAATTCACAAGCTTATCATAATTCATAAGTAACTAAACATATTTGAAGGTTTTACAAAATCATGATGTGGGCACAAGAAGAACCAGGGCCGGTTTAGAAGATATTTATAAAATGGTCAATCACTGATCTTTTTAAAGAAAATTCAAAGAGTGTTTAACCAAAAATTAATAATAAATTAACAGAGTGCTTTCATCACTCTCTGGCTCTACATAAGTATATGGCTATTAAATTGGTACCAGGCATATTGGATGGGCAAAGGGCACCCATGTTAATGCTTTTCCCAATGGCCTGAGAATCTGAGATTGAACTTTGTTATGGAATTCAAATTAGAGTCAAACAGGTCCGTATCAAGTGAAGTATGGTTTGGACAAAAGCGTAATGAGAAAATTTAGGAGATCACAGACTGCAGACTTGCCAGTCTGCTCTTCTCAAAGGCATTAATTTTAAGATAAGATGTAGAGATCTGATCACTACGCGAATGAAAATTTTTATAGCAAGTAGAAGTCAGTCACATCAAAGACTAATTAAAATAAGGAACTTTCTGAACTGAAGACAAGAATATAAAGGAATAAATGTGTATTATTAGAAAGTAATCAGATGACGCCTAGCAAAAATTGTTAGAAAAGTAAAATATAAAACCATTAACGTGGCCCTTACATACAGTTTGAGATTTTAAGTGAAGTGGTTGTTTAACATGGTATCAAAGCCCGTGACCAAATGGTCACGAGTTTGATCCTCAGTCCTCACCACCCCTGAGCTTTTGGTGTGGTGGACCTCTATATTTTCTATGCTTCTTCAAATCCAAAGGGCTTTTCCGTGAGGGGGTGTATTAGGATAGTAATATATAAAACCATTAATGTGCCCTTTACTTAACAACTTGACTTTGTAGATGAGATGATTGTTTAATAAAAAGATTTTTCCCTCCGGTTATGTTCTAACAAGTCTTAAGCCTACATATATATATATATACATATATAGGGAAAATTGGGTGTCATGTGACTGGATACAAGCTTTTGTCGGTCAAAAAATTAAACTATAGGGTAATACATAGTTATAATATTAAAGTTTTTTTTTTCTTCAGAAATTGAACTATGTACTACGAATAATACATAATTATAATATTAAAGTTATTTTTTTTTCTCTCCTACATCACCCGACAACTGTCTGAAAAGTTACTGAGGAGAGAAAAAAAAAACACTTTTAATAGTATAACTATGTACTACCTGTAGTACATAGTTAAATTTCTGAAGAGAGAGAAAAAAAAACTTTAATATTATAACTATGTACTAGCCGTAGTACATAATTATAATTTTTTGACTGGACAAACCCTTGTATCCAGTCACCGTACATCGCTTAACCCATATCTATATATATATATATATATATATATATATATATATATATATATATATATATATAAAATAAAAAGCATGGAGCAATATGAGGCATTTGAGATCTGACCAAGTAGATTGATCTTACTTGATATAGGAGAAGTCTTGCACAATCAGCTGACAGAATATAAGCAGTAGTGCAGTACACGACAAGATTAAGCATAACCAGATTTTTCTCGACTTATGAACCCATAAGCATTACCACAGCTTACCTTTATACTTTCAACTTTGGTTATCAAAATATTTGTCAGAGATTTTGGCAACCTGAAATGTCTAGCAGTTACATTGTAGATAAGATGATTAAGTTCTCAGTTACATATTAGGTTAGAAACATTTTAATGAGATGATTAAGTTCTCATATCGGGAGGGGACATTGCTACAAGTTTCTTCTTAAATCTAGAAGGAACAGAGACATGGATTTCTTAATTTCGAAATGCCAATTGAAAAGCATGATTTTCAATTTCAAGCCTGAAGATCCCTACAGAAAAACTGGTCCGCTAGTTGAACTCGTTTTTGTTAAATTGGAGTTTAAATTCAAATTCCTTATCTAATTATCTTGTTGATAATTCTGTTTTAAGGATAATGCTATTATAGAGATTATAGGAGAAAATTTAGTAGGCTGTTAGTTTGTTTCCTAGTCTTGTTACTGATGTCAAGTTCCTTATCTAATTATCTTGTTGATAGTTCTGTTTTAAGGATAGTGCTTTTATTGTAAATACATATTATAGGAAAATCTTTAGTAGGCTGCTAGTTAGTTTTCTATTTTTGTTACTAAAGTACAGCTGCTAATTGAAGTCGATCATTTTATGTATATATACAGACCTCGATTGAGGGAGAAATATAATGAGGAATTACTGTAATTCAGGTTCCATAATTTTGACAGTTTTGAACATGAACTGCCCTGAAAGTTGAAAAAGATTTTATGCAAATTTATAATTAGTCAATATGCTTTTTGCGGACCAGAACTTCACTTCTTATGCATTTAAATTCTGAGTCAGATACTCCAACTAGATATGGAGTTGTACCCTAATGAATAGCCATAAACCATCACTGTATATTGTATTTGAAAAACAAAAAATTATGTTGTTACTATAACTCTCAATTCAAGACAGTTCAAGTCAGTTTCTAATCAAAATGAAAAACAAGATATATGATTTTAAAACAAATGAGTATGAACACTCACCATATATTGCCCAGATAGCTCTTCGCCTTTCAGGGGTCATTAGGAGAGTTCCTAAAAGACAAAATCCCATGTAAATTGTACTCAAACCATGCCACAAACCCAAATAAAATCATTACTTAACATGCTCACTTGAAGGAAGGATAAAAGAAAGCTAACCCAGGTAAAATGTTTTAGCATATTCTGCACAAACTTCTCCACAACGATCATAAGCTTCATTCAACAAGCTCAAATTCCCAGGCAGAACAATATCTGGTTTCACATCAAGTTCACCAGTAGAGCTCAGCTTCCTCTTAACCAAGGATGCCTGCTTCAGCACCACATCATAGACCTTCTGCTCCGATGAAAAAGCCACTTCTCCTGCTGCTGGGTTTGCGAGCACATTCGATAGCAGAGGGAAGTTGCTAGCACTCTCTAAGCCAGACTGACCAACGCATGCATACTTCATATCTGTACTCAAAGAGCAACATCTCCATCTCTTTGTCTTATCCTTCTTTGCTCTAATTGACCCCATATCTCGGGATATGAACTTGGAAGAATCTAATCCCTTCACATATCGGATAGAATCAAGCAAACCAGTTGAATTCGATACCTCTAAGCTGGGTGAAGAGACAACCCATAATAATGTCACAGACATGACTAAACTCTTGGGTTCTAGAAACCTGCTTGTTAAGCTGATTCTTGATTTCCTATTTCTCAAATATTATTCCTTCACAGAACCATTAAACTCCCTTCAACCAAAAAATAATAATAATTGAAAAGGCAGGAAAATCCTGCAAAGGAACTGGCTTTTATCCAATGAAAGTCTTGGAAGCCACAGTTGCAGCAACTGAAAAAGTTGTTCTACCAAAGCTACCTGTGACTGAAGCAACACAAGCATCATATTCAGAATTACATTAACATAAACCTAAATCGAGAAATAAAAATATTCATCAGATACGACAAGAACTCACAATGGGGGTTCTAAATCCAAACAGTGAAAAGGGGGAAAAAAAAGTTGCAGGAGTCACAGAAAAAGTATGAGCCTGAGGCAACAGGTTGTGTTTGCTAGGACCTTTCATTCATTCCGGCACCGAATTAGCAAACAATATTAAATTAAGAAGTTGGTTAAAGTGATCTACGTATCTTCCCAAAGCTACACGGAAATTCAACCACTAAAAATGAATAGCATGTAAGAAAGAAACAAGATGCACTCACTCGTTGGGTGTTGCTGCTTTGACCCACTCACAAGAGCTTCCCATTAATTGAACATATGCTTGAAGCCATCAACATCATGGACCAAAAACTAAACAAAAAGGGGCCACTAACAGCAATCTTTTCCCCTCACCATAGTCTCCACTCTTCCAGACCTTGGTTCTAATTATTGTTTTGTTTCTCACTTTGTCTCTTTGTCTCTCTTTATTTTATTTTATTTTATTTTATAATAATGTCCCTTTTGTATAGTATAGTATAGTATAGTATAGTAGATGCCTCTAGTATTCTCTCTCAGGCTGTGCTGTCTTTCCACATCTATTAGTATTATGGGATTCAAGGCATCTTTGTCACCAATGTATGGCTCTGGGTTTCAATCAAGTTTGGAGCTTTCTCTCTTTGTTCAAAGCTGTTTTATGTCATCTTGCACTCTCTTACACCTTCTATCCCCGCCCATTCATAATGTGGGTCGGGTTTATCCAACTTCATGTTTTCCTGATCCGAATACTTTTAGCTCTTTGGTAATATTTTTCATAACAGTGTAAAATTATTTGTAACAAAATCAAGTATGATTCAATTATTATTACAGTAAATTCGATAGTAGTGGGTACAGTTTTTTTTTAAAGATAAAGAAAAAACGGGCGTAGACCCGACCCAGATCCGCAAAAAAACTGAATCGGACTCAAGCCAAGAATGACGGCAGGCGCGTAAAGTGCGCAAGAAAAAGGGAAATTTAAAATTCCAACAAGGCAACACGTGGAGGTAATCAACCAATCAGCGGAGGATAACCTTATCCCATGCTATAAAGCGGTGGTGTGATGGGAAAAAACACGTGGCATCATCTGATTGACCTCATGAGATGGGACTCAGATTTCTCCGGATTATGGGATTGGTGTCACGCAAGTGTGGGACCCACCAGATTGCAAATTATAGAGTTTTATGCCCTCTAAATTTTTCTTCGTTTAGACATTGTGGGGCCTGGTGGGCCTTTGTCGGTTTGTACTGCACCCAATACTGTAGATAGTGGAAAGGAGAATGAACATGAATTACTGGGTTGACACGTAGTCATTTTGCACCTTGTGTGGATCACATGGCATGGCACTTTGTTTAACTGGTCTGGATTCAGGTCCCCTGCCACCTACCTGGCAATGGTGTTAACTTGTAACTAACTACCTGTATTGGGTTTGGTCAAATTAAATTTTAAATAATTTGGTACTTTAAGATTTTTCTAATTTATTAATTAACCTAAGCGGCTAAGCCAATGTGTTATAGTTGGGGAGCGTTTTTAAATCAGATCTCATTAACCATTTATTTAATGGAAAAAAGGTAGGTAAAAGCTCAGAGTGTTCGAAATCCAGACGAGAGGTTGGTTAGATTGCTAGTCATGATTTATTTTAATTGGGAAAATCTTAATCTGCATTGATGAGAGGGAAAAAGGCATGTCAAAATAAGTCAAAATCTGAATAAAGAAATGCCGTGTGGGACGTCTGGTAGGATAGCTTAGTGATATTTTCTTATTTCTTTACTTATCTTTGGAATTGGTTGGTTCCTTGTCACTGCTCATTACTCTTATGTTGATGATATTGGCATCTCCTTTCATGCTAAGTATGTTCTATCTCATTCAAATATTTTAACTATAAAATATCGAAACTTCAAAATATTTGAGGTACTGTATTCGATATTTTTTGATACTCTCACACTTTCTGACAGTTTAATATTCATTGTAAAGATTCAAAGATTACGTTGTGTTACATTTTGAGTTCCAACTATTAAATTCGTTGGATTACGATTACTATTTTATTGAGTTTAATATAAATATTTGAGATATCTTATGTTTTTTTACAAACTTGGTGAGTATTATAAGTTTAGCTTTATTTTTTTGTTAAATTATAGAATATTAAATATAATATACACTACATAAATTAAAAATATTATATAACATCAAAACGTGTCCTAACGTGTCGAAATTTAATATTTTTAAAATTAATGTGTGGGAGTGCCGTGTTATGTCGTATCCGGTGTCGGAGCAAGATAGGATTTCCAGTTAAATATTATGCCAAAAATCTAAAGATAAACAAAAAAAGAAACACACACACACATTATTGTCTAATTATAGTTTTTTTTTTAATTCTTAATTTCTCATATGTAATTCACATTAAACTCCATGTATTACTCTTTATTATTTACCCTAACAAAAAAATTTGGCAAGCACGTAATGACAATCAATACCCCACTATTAACTTTTTTATTATTTTATCATCATATGTATAGATTTTACACAACATAAATATGATGCGAAAAATGATATAAAAAATAATATCAAAATGTTATAGACTTGTTGACCGTGATCAAGCTAAGAATCTCAGTTTTTGGTTGAAAAAAGTCAGGGCGAGTAAAATCAATTCTGGGTTTTTAAGCAAAAATAAATAAAATTCTGGGATGTAAGAATTGTAGTATTGAAAAGAATTGATTTTAGATGTATGATCTATAAAATTTTAGAAAGTGCGCCTGAAATTACATCGCAAAATTAATTATATTTTACTTAAACAAAAATTAATTATTCTAAATTAGTTTTTGAAATATTCTCAAATATAAATGAACTATTTTAATATTAATTTTTTAAATAAATTATTTTTAAATTAATTCTACTAAAATCTAAACCAAATATATGCTAAATTGGTCACACGCTCATCACCCCCAACCAGTTAATTGACACGTGTCCCATTTTGTAATATCTGTAAGCTTTGTCGCATTGGATTATTCCGTGTTTCTGAATCAAGTCTCTTCACCCATTCGTTTAGAGGGAAAATGCAGGTAAACCCTGTTCGGTACTCGTATTATGCTCCTTAGATTTCTAGTTATGATATATTAAATAGTCAAATTCGGGAAATTTTAAATTGTATTGAACAGTGGGGAGAAAAGGAACGTCAAAAATGGTCTAAATCCGAATTACCAAATAAACAAAGGGAAATATTACTCTCCTTTTGCATAAGATTACTTCTCTCCTACTCTCTCACTTCGATTTCCGCACCTCACCTTTTTCTTTTTTTTTTCTTTTTTCTTGTAATGGTGGGACCCACCCATTTTATCTCTACAACATAAGATATTATGTTGAAGGAGAATAATAAAACCCATAAACAAATGCCGCCGAAGACTTCTGTCGGACAGGAATAGGATAGTGATATTTTGTTATTTCTTACTTATTTTTTGGTTCTTCGTCGTCACTGCTGAACGTTGCATCTCATTTCATGGTAGGCATGTTATTCTCTTTTTGATAGATAGTCTAGCTCATTCTGAATAAAATATTATTTAATCTTTTTATTAATAATTAGTATTTGTTAGACTCATATTATCCGATAGATTTCTAAATAATATTCAATTTAATGTAAAATATTGACGTAAAAACTAAGGGATAATTTTTTTTTCAGTCACTGCAAAACTTTTTATCTTGTAACTGGGATAATATTTAGGAGAGAGAAAAATAATTTGAGGTGAGGTCCATGACTTTTTGTGCACAAGAAAGAACAATACTTCTCTCATAAAAGAAGAAGTATAAAGCCCAAAAACTAAAGTAAAAAGTAAGAATGGGAGGTGTAGGACTCTGTGTGGTCGGATCATGGAGGGATGCAAATGTACATGACGTTAACAGGATATGGGACTTGATTATAAAAAATTAATATAACCCAAATAATTATCTTATTATGTGAAATTATATTAATAATTTTATATTTTTCTAACATAATTTATCGTACGAGAGCAATTAGATTTGAAAAAGTAGATAATGCATCAGACTTTATTTATATTAAAAAATTCTGTAATTTTATTAATAGAATAAGATTGTAATATAATATTCTCTAATAATTTAAAATTTTAGATTGAATTAAATCTTTATATTGATACAATTAGTTCGGTGTTAAATTTGGATGGGACTCAATCGATCACTCTTTCTTAGCATACGGATACACATAGCATCCTCTCGGAGTAGCATCGCCCTCTTGTCCTGTCCTATCCATACATATGATACATACATCCCTTTTCATGCAACATCCAGCGAGTGACCGCCAGCTGCAAAACTCATGTGCAAGACTGTGAGACTTAACACGTTTCACTATTTACTATCATAAACTTTCATTCTTGCCCATTGTTTTCTTAATTAAATTAAAAATTATCAGTATATTCCTGAATCAAAATATTTTCTCTATTTATCCTTATTTGACCGTTCACCAATTTATATAATCGAATACAAGTGTTGATGTTCCAGTATTTTTCACAAAACAATGTATACTCGGAAACTACTGTAGTTGAGTACTTAAGTATTGTTGTTCATCTGAATTTTTTTCAGCATTATATAGTCGAGTACATGGGTGCAATACTCGAGTATTCTTTGCGAGCTGAATTTAAACCCTCATATCACACATTTCTGACCGTTGACTGAACTAAGTAAGCGATTACAACATCAACGTAATTGATCACGCCAACATACGATAATCGATTACATCATCGAACTGAGCTATATGAATTTTTTCCACAAGATATTTTTTGATCAAGCAAGTTTCAATGGTCATATTGACCAGAGAATGAGCTTTGTGGCATTACAAAATTTTGAATATTTTATCGTAAAATTTTAGAACGCCATAACTTTTGACTAAGGTATCCGAATCATGTGTCTTTATATTTTATTTCATATAACTTTCAAGAGCTATATGCTGGCAAATTTTTGATAGGGATTTGGTCCAAAAAAAATTCTCAATTTTTTTCTTTGTTCTGTGTTTGGCATATTTTATCTTTGTTGATGATGTTATTTAAGTTTTTCTTTTCCAACATTAACAAATAATTCTGGCAAAATTTTTCAGCACATAAATCTTAAAGAGTAGACCCAAACTAAAAATTATAGCTTTTCAAATTTTCATAGTAAAAACTCATGATATTCGAATAACTGGCGCCATGAGTAGAAACTCATGACACGTTATTTACTTGAATATGTTGGTTATGTACTCAAGTACGAGGGCCAGTTAACTCTCAAATAAAGGCAAATTGATGTTCCTCACCCAAAAAAAAAAGGCAAATTGATGTTATGTTTAGAAAAAAAAATCATATTTTTTAAATAGTTTAAAAATAAGATATAATGATAATTTTTAATTTAATTAAGAGCATAATAATCAAAAAGCCAAAACTTTCAAATCATTAGCCGCACCCAAATTAAGAGATTTTTGCAGTAATATCTGCTTTATAGCTAAGAAAATGGTCCTATTTCAGATTGTTACTAATTTTTTTGGCAGTGGGTTGGTTACTACACAATAAACAAGTGAACTATTTTTCTTATGTTACATAAAAAAATTATTATCTTCTACACTCATATTTTTTAAATAGGTCCCATAAGATTTTTTTCTCTCATCTTTCAACTTTTTTCTTTCTCCTAACTATTGTTTGAGCATGGGATAATACTTCTCTACTTCTCTTATGCAACATAAAAGAAGTATTACCCAATAAACAATGAATGAGTTTTTCATTAGAAGCTTCCCTCAATATTTGTTTTCTTTCATGTACAATTTTAACTAACGGTAACATGTAGCCTCGTAATGAGTACAGTAAAACTGTATATCATATAAGATAGCTAATGTTAAAAAAAAAAAAAAAAATTAAAAAATCATTGAAGAATATTTATTTTACCCCTCTTTTTTAGTTAATATCATACGAGTTTTTTTTAATTATTTTTAAGGAAAGAAGTGAGAGCACGGAAAAATATACTTGTTGAGGTAGCTCGATGGTGATGAGTTTTTTTTTTTTTTAAGTTAATACAATTTTAATTATTTCTTTGAGGTGATTTAATTCCTTCCGATATTTCGGTATTTCATAAGTTTTGATTTTTTGAACTGACTATAAAATTAATTTGGAATAAGGAGCATATCAAAGTTGAAAATATTTAAATCTCTTCCAAAATTATCATGTGAAGATCGAATTAACGCCCTTTCATACTATTGTGTTATCAATGCCCTTTGACCTTTCAGGATAAAATTTGGAAGAATTTTTTTTGAGAAAAATATTTTTCCTTAATGACATAATTTATGTCATTTCACTTTCATAAATAGGTAGGATCCACATCTTTATATTTTTTTTATCCACTCTCTCTTCCTTTATCTATCTCTTTCTTTTACTTAAAATGACATAACTTTACCTCCTTTAAAATTATATATATATTTCCCTTTTTTTATGCAATTTGGTGACATTGGCATCGGGTGCGCATGCTCAAATTTTGTCCCCTTTCACACGTGTATTCTCTCGCCTTGTGTAAATATTGATTGATATCAATATATCATAAACAATAATTAATATTTAATGTTTAAATAATACATAACACAATTATTATCATTTTATAATTAACATTAATTTTTAAAGTAAAATAATAATTAAAAACTTAAATAGTTAATTTGTGTGACGTCATCTTTCAAAGTTATTACAAACTAAAAAATGCAAAAGTTATCATGGATCGTAATAGATTGATGATTGATTTTTGTTTTTTTATTTGCCCAAAAATATCATCTCTTGAAACATAATCTTTTTCATGATTTATCACATTTCAGATTTGTTGAAATTTGAAAATAAAACAATAACATGTATATAGATTAATCTCTCTAAAAAATCAAAGCCATAATATAATAATCTTAATATTTCACAAATGACTCTATATCCTTCAAACAATTATGCACTAATTAATTATCCAACTTAAATGAGAATTATTTACTATGTTAATTATTTTTTAATTAAATTTTTTTAATATTTATTTATAAAATTATAATAATTATATTATTTACTAATATACTTAATATATTTATGATGCTAATTAATATTTATGCGGGAGAGAAAATAAAATTTGGACAATGGTCATGATACATCATATAAATATGCTAGAAGATGCAAATGTAGGAGCAATTATTCAGCGATCCCAGCTCACGCAAGCCAGGTAGAAAGAAGAGAAAGGAAGAAATAAGAGAGAGAAATGAACCATCGAATTATTTTCCAAAAAATATAGCGAAAGAATGAATGACAACATCGCAGAAAAAGGACAATTCTAAATCCACAGTTCTCATAAATAGAAAATTTGACTTGACATATTTTAACGTTAATTGCTGTTGTAATGAAATATAAATGTAAAGAATCAAATTATGTTGTACTTTAAATAAAAATAATTTTTTATAAATTAAATTTTAGAAAAATTGAAACGTTCAAAATAAAATTTAATATGTATTTGAAAGATTAAAAAAGTACTGTACTATTTTATTTAAATAAAAAATAATCTTAATGAATAAATAAATAAGAATGTAAGAATAGTAAAGCCCATTTATGGGCTGAAACTAATAAAGTCCATTTAACTGTCTGCATTGCCAGATGGAGGAAAACATACATGGACTATTCTTTCTTAATAAGGTTTAGATAGGCCCAAAGACTCAAAAAATAAAATAAAATAATGATCAAGTGCTCATAATCAATTATGTAATATATTAATGACATTATAAAAAATTTACATGGAAATACTGTATTTGTATTCTCTCACAATCACTGCAGTACCAGAAAAATGGGTATTAAGAGGATCTTTGGCTTTGTCAGTTACAAAAACTAAATAATTTTAGAGGAGGATTCATTTATCATCAAATAAGTTTATTATTTCTTATCACTAAATTTTAATTATTGATTTTTGTGAATTGCATAATTATAACTTATTGTATAACACTTATTAATTAATTATTAGTAAATTATAATCATAGATTAATGAAAATTATTTATTAATATTTGGTGATAAAAAATAATAAATTTAATTGGTAGTAAATATATTCGATGACATAATTTTAAGTTTTAGTATGAATATTTTTTGTAACAAAATTCTTAAAGATGAGAGAATATTTATATAATGATTAAATCATAATAGTTAAAATATTGTATTTAAAAAATTAAAGTTTATTTAAATAAAGTTATAAACAGGGATCTAAAGAGAAAGAACAAGCTACAGTTGCTGAGTTTGTGAAAGAACTAGGTTTTAGGGGTTTTGTGAGAAGAAGATGGAGCAGGAACAACGAAGCCTTGAAAGCTTCTTAACATGGGCAGCACAGCTTGGAATATCAGACTCAACAAGCACCAATCAACCTCAACACTCTCTCTCCTCTTTGGGTTCTTCTCTCTGTGTCTCTCATTTTCCTCACTCTGGCGGGTACTTACTTATTCGTCTTTCCAATATTTCCTGGCCATCATGCATATTCATCATACCCAATTAAAAGTTTACATCAAATTTATCTTCTTTATTACACCAACAATTCACACAGTCACTGAATGAATTTCTTCGTGTTGATATAAAATTAATAGGGGTAACACTTTTTTTCCCTCTTGCCCATTACGTGTGTTTTCTGGGGTAATTAATCGAAGCTAATGATAATAATCTAAATAATGATGCATTTGACTTGTTTCTGTTAACAAATATTACCCTTTTTCCTGGATTATTTGGAGAATGCTGCAGTAGAGGTTTGGGTGCGGTGAGAGACCTTAGGAGGGGAGAAATTATTCTCAGAGTTCCAAAATCTGCTTTAATGACAAGCGAGAGTGTTATGGAAGATGATGAAAAACTCTGCGTTGCTGTCAATAAGCACTCTTCTGTTTCCTCAGCTCAGGTTTCTTTCTTAATTGTATTACTTTGTTGTTGTATTATTAATATTATGCGTTGTTGCTTATAATTGAGTCTTTTATACAATTGAATCTTTTAGACTTACTTCTAAGCTTGTGTATGATGCAGATATTGATTGTTTGCTTGTTGTATGAAATGGGTAAAGGAAAGGCTTCAAGGTGGCATCCTTACCTCGTGCATTTGCCTCACAGTTATGACCTACTAGCCATGTTTGGTGAATTTGAGAAACATGCTCTGCAAGTTCAGTTTCTGTTAGAAATTTTAGTTTATCGCATTAGGTTAGATTATGGCATCTCAGCTAATGATATTATCAAAATTTCATTTATAATTTATGTTAGAAATAATCTTTCATGTGTGGTTATTAGGTGGATGAGGCTATGTGGGTCACAGAAAAAGCTGTACTAAAAGCCAAATCAGAGTGGAAAGAAGCTCATACTTTGATGGAAGATCTCAAGTTTAAGCCCCAGTTTTTAACACTTAAGGCTTGGGTTTGGGCTGCTGCAACGGTTAGAAATCTGGCTCTTGAAAGATAAGGGGGAGGGGGCTCTGCATGCTTACGTAGTGAAATTATAAATATGCAATTTGGTTTTCCTACACATCATGGATTGTAAACATCTTTTTCATTTTCTTAATTTTTTTTTTGGTTAGTATTAGCAGCTATTCCTGAATCAACTTTTTCTTGCTTGAACTAGTATTTGCTTCCATTAAATTGTAACAATCTTATTTTGGCTAACCTTTTTTAAGTCATGGTACTTAGGTCAAATTGTTTCAGTAATTAGAAAAACCATCAAGTTTTAATGAATATTGATTAATTTTTCTTGATTGATACATCAGCTACTGCCTACATGCATTGCACGGCATATTTATATTTATTTTAGTTATCAGGGGCAAATCATAAGTCGCACTCTTTCTCTATCATTAAATCACATTTAAACTTCCATAAATCTAGATATCATCCCGGACGTTACATATACCATGGGATGAAGCTGGGTGTTTATGCCCTGTGGGTGACTTGTTTAATTATGATGCACCTGGAGAGGAGCCATCTGATATTGAGGATGTAGACTATTTGCTATCCCGTTCTTCCATTCATGTTACTGCCGTATCAAATGGAGACAAGAATATAATGATAGATGCAGAGCAACTTGATTCTCATTCTCGGAGATTAACAGATGGTGGGTTTGAGGAAGATGCTAATGCATATTGCTTTTATGCTAGGGCACATTACAAGAAAGGAGATCAGGTATTACACAAATTTTGGAAATGTTATCATATAAGTTGGGAATCTGTTTGCTTTCTGATTTATCTTATGTAGTTAAACTTTATGTTTATTCTCCATTTTTTTTTTTGTTTATAATTGATGACAGTTTTTTTGGTGGCCTAGTAACTTAATTGAATGACAATATCAGCATTAGTTTCTAAATGTGAGCAAATATGAATTAAAAAAACTTTAATTTGACTGACCCTATTGTAGGCTGTAGCTGGTATAAAGTAATAGAGTCGTGCTACTTTGTATTGTTTGAATTGCTTGTCCTTGATTCAAATTTTTTCCGTAGACATAAAATGTTATGCTTGTGTCTATTTGGTTAGGAAAATGCTTTGGAGCAATGGTGCTTACTTTTTTTTTTTTTTTAAAGAAAAATTTAGGGGGTGTTGGGAGGTTGCCCCATTTCAAGGTTAGGGCACTCCACAAGTCTCGGCAAAGACTTACTTACCAATGAAGGACCACTAGTAAGAAAAGAACCTAAAGACCTTTTGGTCAACACAGTTCGATCCAACCAGTTTAGCCCCAGCCAAACCTTATTGGGGATGTTTAGTGGTGTCTAACTGTAGTTCAGCTAAAGTTTCCATTGAAGTTAGATCTTTGAATCTTTACCACAGCATCAGACTCAATGAACCCATATGGCCCCCATTTGATTTCTAGAAATTGTTACTGAAACAAATTTAATGGATGACTATGGGCAGAGGTTTGTTGATAATTATCTCACCTCCATTTATGTTTATCTATATTTAAATTTATTTCTTATTTAAATGGGTAAATTTTATTGGTTCAAACTTTGGGAGTAGACAAACTGTATTTAGGATATTTTACATGGAGCCATGAATATTATGCTCTAATAATGAGAACAAAATGTCCATCAGAGGCTGAGGCTTAGTGGTAAAGACTCAGTCACAATTTGTCATTGAATGGTGTGGGGACAACGAGCCCTTTGTCCATTTATCATTGGCTAGCTGCTCTTTACGTAATACATAGGGCCCCTTATCAAGATAGTATCTCCGTAATTTAAAAAAAAAAATAGTTAAAAGACAGGATTATATTTACGATATGCAACAGTTCTTATAACAGCAGTTAGGTTTATATATCCAGTTTAGCATGTGAATGTTACCAATTTCTTTTTCCAATAAATATAATTCATCATAAATCCTTCCTTGAGCTAAAATTCTAGAAATAAAGCATTAATTGTTGCTTTCTCCTGGATGTAGACTATGAAATTTTGCAGGGACTGATATACTTCTTTCATTTGAATATTTTCAATAGGGGTCACTAGTTCTATGGATGTTTTCACTCTATCTTCATTCTGTTGTTTGGAAAATAGGGAATTACAAATTACCTTGTTTTTACCAGGTTCTATTGTGCTATGGAACTTACACAAATTTGGAGCTTCTTGAACACTATGGGTTTCTCTTACAAGAAAACCCAAACGACAAAAATTTTATCCCTTTGGAACCTGCTGTATATTCTTCCACTTCTTGGTCTAAGGAATCACTCTATATCCATCATAATGGGAAGCCTTCCTTTGCACTACTAGCTGCATTGAGGCTATGGGCAACCCCTCGAAATAAGAGGAGGTCTATTGGACATCTTGCATATTCTGGTTCTCAACTGTCTGCAGACAATGAAATTTTCATTATGAAATGGCTATCAAAAACTTGTGATGCTGTCTTAAAAAATCTGCCATCATCTATTGACGAAGACACCTTGCTCCTAAATGCAATGGATGATAGTCAAGATTTCTTCACTTTCATGGATATCACAAAACTCATGTCTTCCAGTTCAAGGGCTGAGATTTATACTTTCTTAGAAGCTTATAATATAAAGGATGCACATAGTTTTGCTGATATTCTTCTATCTAGAAAAGCTAGAAGATCCATGGACAGGTGGAAATTAGCTGTCCAATGGAGGCTCAGGTATAAAAAAGTCCTTGTCGATTGTATCTGTTTTTGCAATGAAATACTGGATTCTTTCATGAAATAATGCTGATGGACTGGTAGCAGTGTATTTAAGTTTTTTCCTTTTCTGTTATCTTTCTTCGGATAATAGTTTCTTGCTGATTGAAAGAAAGGAGTGAACGGATATTATTTTACTGGAAAAGACTGAAATGGTAAAGCTAACCTTATGCAATAGTAATGTGAAGCTTTTGTTGTTTTTTGCTAGCTTTTTTATCAATGATGTCAAAGAATTGTTTGGATGATTGGAAAGCAAATTTTCTACCAGTCTTCTAGCATCCAATTTCTGACATGACAAATTCGTAAATAATGGTACATAGTTTACGCCATGCATGTTTTTTATTCATGTTTATTATTCAAAACTGTCATGGATAATTGCCCTAATGACATGTGGTTGGCCAACCTGCTTCTATTTGATTTCATTAACTATATGCATAATTTTGTTTAAACTAGGGTAGATAAAACCTGAAAGTTTATCTGTAGAAGATCCACCACCTATTTTACCCAATAAAGTTCATATTTAGCAATAACGTGCAAAATCCCTGGGTATGTCAAATTATGAACAATCTCCTGACTAAAACATCTTTATTGAGGTGAAAAATGTCGTGCCAATCATCCTCTGCGTATTTATTCCTTTTATTTATTTATTTTTTTAATATTTTTTTGGGTGGGGGGTTGGAAGGCGATGTAAAGACGTTTGGTTATATTTAAGGGTGTAAATGGACTAGACCGGCCTATAGTGGCCTACGGCTTAGTCTATATTAGGTCAAACTTGACCTATTACAAATAGTAAAATAGAACATGCCTAGGCTTTTAAAAAAATTTATTTAGAAAACAGGCCATAGGTTTTTTTTTGTACATGTCAAGCCTATAGATCGTCTTATATTATATTATTTATTTTAAATAAAATAAATAAAATTATCATTTTAATAATTTTGAATAATAAAATACTGATATTTTAGTTATTCTTTTAATTGTTGAATGTTTAATCGGCTTAAACAGGTCAATGTTAAGGCTTTTATTTTTTAAATATAGGTCGGACCAGACTTGTAATTTAAAACTTATACACAGGCAAACAAAATATTTTTTACGTGAGCCTAGCCAATTTAAATTAAAGTCTAGCCTAACCCAGCCTATTTACACCCCTAGTCATATTGCCTTATAGACCACAACAGCTGAATTAAAATCTGACTATCTTTCAAGATCTGTAGTAAGAATATTGGGCTCTAAAGTCAGTACCCCAATTGAGAGAAATTAATAATACCATGTAATACTCATTAAGCATAAAAATATCACAATCCTTTAATTAAAGTTAAATTAACATCATAATTTATTTCAAGGCATTACTTTTCTTCTGAAAATTCAGATGGAATTCAAAAGTCCACTTAAAAAACTTAGGGATATATTAAATTGAGATTTTAAAACATTGTAATGGATTATTTTTGTACACAAAAATCCGTTGATATTTGATTAAGATTTTAATAGATTGAAAAAAATCACGTGATATTTAATTAGTATTTTAAAGAATTATTTTAAAATCCGTCCAAATCCGTTGGTATTCAATCAGAATTTTAAACAATAAAATAACAATCCCATATTATTCAAAAATCCAACGATCTTAATAAATTTTCTATTAAACGTGAATATTTTGAGACTTTTTAATAAAAATTATAAATGGTAACACCAACTGATCATCGCTACGAAACCAATACATATTGGGGCACGCTCAGTTTTTCCACATTCAAAATACGTCCACCATCCTTCCATCTCCACAAAATGTCACACAAGTCACAGGGCACCGAGTGACAATTCAATAATCAAATTTCAGTCATCAGTAACCATTAAGTTAATCTACTACCAAACTAACACATATGGGACGAACAAAGATGTAGAACGTGCCCAACAAAAGTGGTCCCAAAACTAGCTTACATAGATAGCGGAATCTATGAACAAACATTTAAGGCATGGCTGAGCCTAGGAAGTGCAAAACATCGCCCATTAACCAAATATTGAATATGTATTTAACACACTGGCTCTGAAGACTGAAGAGTACATCATATTTAACTTTTGTAAGAGATTTATTTATGGTCTGCTAGAAGTGTTAACATTATCATTAGTATATCAAAATAAAACCTATAAGCGACTTCGAAAAACAAACAAAATTTCACATTAGTGATTACGTGAGCAAAAATTTAAATTTATCTGATTAACAAAAAGTAATGCAAAAGATAATTAATTCTCTAGATAACATTCAAAATGACATAAGACACTTATTAATTTGAAAACAGTCATCGAAATTCTCCTACCATATAAAAAAGACCTAATGATAGAAACGAAGATATATTCTTTACCCAACAATGAACTAATCGCAAATGTTATTGCATAGAGAGATGGATCAGATTTATTTGGCTTGGTTTCTCAAAAGAGAAAAATCGCACAGTATATTCAGCGTCGATCATCTGGGGAAAAAATCATCACCTCCATCTCCACAGCACATCACTGTGCACAAAGCTAAAATATATTATTTCTTATTAAGAGAAAACCAACAAAGAAAAAACAAGACGAAAGGGAAAGAGAACACAAAAACAATAAATTAAATTAAAATAATAGAAATAGAGCATTAAGAAGGAATTTATATAGCGTCCGCTGGTAAAACACGCAGCTATTATGTGTCAGTGATTGACGCTGAACAAACCTAATTTGAGTCACGAGACAGTGATGAGAAGGGAGAGGGTGGAACTGCTTATAAAGGTGACGAAACCCTAATTTGAGGTTGGGAGAAGCTTCTGGATTGGATATAAGCGGAAAAGAAAATGGACCAATACGGCCTTTTTATTCCGATCAGCCCAATTAGTTGAATCCGAAATCAAGCAATAATTGGGCTGATTGACCATGTTATTCGTTTTGTTTTGCATTATTTTGTATGAAAATGAAACTAATTCTCATTTAAACTTGTTTAAATAAAAATTATGATTCTATTTCTACGAGCACTTGGGTAAAATCAACGATGAGAGTTAACTCACAGTGAGATGTTTAGGGTTTTCAAATAATGACTAACTAAGCCCATACAGATTATGTATCATCTGATTGGAGAGGCCATGGCCCAAATTATTTATTGGGCTCTTTTAATTTATTATTATGTTTGTTAAAAAACAAGTATAATTTTTTTTTACCCGTATTTAAAGCCAAAAACAAAAGTAAAATTCAGGCCCTGCACTCGAATGAGAATCCAAATAAAAAATCTTACCCTAAAATAAACAGATTTAAATTTGATATATCATAAATGAGAATTTTGTCAACACTTCCTTTGGAACTATAAAATCAAGAAAGCCCAATATAAGGAGGAGGAAGCCCATGTAAAAAATCCAATCCTAAATAATTTATGTCCTAGGGCACATAATTCCCATCATCATCTCATCACATTTGGAGCTTCTAGCAACCATCAATCATCTCCCTCAGACCAAGTATCACATTAAATCGGGAGACTTGATAGAACAAAAACTATTCTAACTTATTATTTATTTTGGAATACTTATTTCCTATATATATCCATCAATCATCTGCCCAAAAATTTTAATTTGATTCAAAGCTCCGGTAGGAGAATGAAAATCGAAATTTTTGGATTTTCACAGATGGCGCCAATGAACCGTCGGCTAATTAGAAAATCCAATATGTAACACCACAAGGGGTGATATGGTTACTATAGGGTGTACCCAACGCAGCAATGGTGAAGACCAACACTGTATAGGACAGTCCCAATACAATGAGTATATAACGGGGGATGGGGTGACATGCAAAGACTATGATGGCTTTAAATCTTGACAGAGTAATGGCTCATAAAAATATGTCCTCTGCTGTGATGAGGAAGGGGTATATATAGGTCTTATTATAGTGGGGGAATGTGCCAAGTCAACTGTTGTGGGGAAGAAGGATAGCAGGGCTTCTTGCCGTCGCTGCTGTGCTAATAGTAGCTGCCATGCAGGGGTAAGGTCAAGGGAATGATATATTGGACGTATATGGAGACACAAAGGGAAGAGAGTCTCCCAAAGCATTTGGTGTCTTACGTTGGGGAGCCAGCTTACCTTGCAGACTTGACAGTAGTATCAACAGGATAGTGAATTTAGGGCTGAGGTGGCTTGGGTCTTCAGGATTGGACCTGCCCTATTGAGATAATGCTTTGGGTCGGCCAGTATAGATGTGTATATATAGAACTTAATAAATAAAAATAAAAGTAGATATAATAATAAATTTTTTTATAAGAATCGAATAAAGATATGAGATGAAGAGAGAGTACCGTAGCTTCAATTTGATAGGCGATATTATCATATTTGATATTTTTTGCAATTTTTATCACATCAGACATTTGATGTACACTATATAAACAAATTGATAGGATAATTTTAATATATATGATATTTGAAACAAATCATATCATATTATGCATAGTGATGTAATGATTGACCCAGTGACCCGGTTATAAACCGTGGTTCAACCGAAACAAATCATATCATATTATGCATAGTGATGTAGTGATTGACCCAGTGACCCGGTTATAAACCGATAACTCTTCAAACTGGTTTTTCAAAATTAGTTACAAAATGTTTTTTTTTGCAGCGAGTGGGATTCGAACCCAGCACAATGGAGTGAGGAAAGTCATTTCATATCACTAGGCCACCATCATTGGTAGAATAAATCACACCATTTAATATATTTATTATATAACTATTAAGTTAAGAGAATTATTTCAAAAATTGCATGTAATGGTGTTCGAACCCCTTGGATTAAGGATATACAACATAGCAAATACTACTAAACTACATCAGGTTGTTGTTTAGATGGCACCATTTATAATATTTATTATATAATTAAGTATAAAATATAAATTTATATATATATCCGGTTCATGCGGTTCAACCAGTGACCCACCGGTTGAACCATTGACCCAGTGACTCAGTACCTCAACCGGGTCAATGACCGGTCCGGTTCTAATAACAGTAGAATGAGGGACTAAAAGGGGTGTTTCCACCCAAAAATTTATGTAAACTTTTAAAATTAAATATTATTTCTAATTTTTTGGTCATATGTCTAATGCTCACCCTTTCAAAATCCATAGAAATCTTTAATTGCAAGCACCATTTCTATTTTTTTGTCATATAAATAATTGTTACTTCAAAGAAAAAATT